CTGCTTGTGGTGGTGGTGTACGTGCTGCATTGCATGCATTGTCGTTGTTTCTGCTGCTGCTGCTGCTTCGGCTATTTGCTGTTACTTGAGGGGTTATTCTATCTGCTTCTGTGTGCTGCTGCTGCTGCTGCTGCTGCTGCTGTTGCTGCTGCTGCTGCTGCTGCTGCTGCTGCTGCAGTCGTATAACACGCTGCGCCCTGTGCGGGCAGCTGGTGGATCCCTCTTCCTTTACTTTTGAGGCGCAGACATATTTTCATATGCTGCAGGAGTTGTTTGCTAGGCTGAAGCTGCAGCAGCAGCAGCAGCAGCAGCAGCAGCAACAGCAACAGCAGCAGCACGGAACGCATGCAGAGCATGGGGTTTATAGGGACCCCCATACAGGGGCCTTTGTATGTCCAGATGCTGAAGATGATTTTGCTGCTGCTGCTGCTGCTGCTGCTGCTCTAGAAGAAGATAGCTGGCAGCAGCAGCACCCACGACGGCAGCAGCAGGGCTGGCAGCAGCAGCAGCAGCAGCAGCAGCAGCAGCAGCAGCAGCAGCAGGCTCTATCTGATACTGGGCTTTCTCCTGCCCCCTTCAACCCCTACCTCCGCCACAGACAGAGACGGCTGCAAGTAGAGGAAGTACCAGACTACGAAGTCTGTCTGTCTGCTGCTGCTGCTGCTGCTGCTGCTGCTGCTGCTGTTGCTGCTGCTGCTGCTGTTGCTGCTGTTGCTGCTGCTGTTGCTGGGGTCTTGTTGCTGCTGTTGTCTTACACCCGTTCCTGCTGCTATTGCTTCTGCCTCTTGTGCTGCTGCTGCTGGGCTCTTGCTGCTGCTGCTGCTGCTGCTGCTGCTCTCCTCTTGCTGCTGCTTTTGTTTTTGTTTTAGTTTAGTTTTCTTCGTCTCGTTTTGTTTTTTTTTTATTTTTTCAGCCTAGACCTCCTGCTATCTTTGTTACTGGTTGCTATCATCGTTTTTTTATAAATAAATAAATAAATAAATAAATAAATAAATAAATAAATAAACATACAAACAAATAAATAAATAAATAAATAAATAAATAAATAAATAAACAAATAAATAAATAAATAAATAAATAAATAAAAATTAAATAAATTTAATTAAACTAAATTAAATATATTTATTTTATTTTATTTGTTTTTTTATTATTTCTTCAGCCAATACCGCTTGCAGTGTTTGTTACTGGCTACTACCAACGCTTTTTATAATAAATAAATAAATAAATAAATAAATAAATAAATAAATAAATAAATAAACAAATAAATAAATAGACAAATAAATAAACAAATGAATAAATTAAATACATTTGTTTTGTTTTTTATTTTCCTTCAGCCTATCCCTCGCGCTGTCTTCGTTACTGGCTACTATAAACGTTTTTTTATAGAAAGAGAACAAATAAACAAATAAATAAATTAAATATATTTATTTATTTTATTTTGTTTGTTTTTTTTATTATTTTTTCAGCCAATACCCCGTGCTGTCTTTGTAACTGGCTACTATAAACGTTTTTTTATAGAAAGAGAACAAATAAATAAACAAATAAATAAAATAAATAAATAAATTAAATACATTTGTTTTGTTTTTTATTTTTTTTTCAGCCTATACCCCGTGCTGTCTTCGTTACTGGCTACTATAAACGTTTTTTTATAGAAAGAGAACAAATAAATAAACAAATAAATAAATAAATAAATAACAAACAAATAAATAAATAAACAAATAAATAAATAAAATTAAATACATTTGTTTTGTTTTTTCCTATTCAGCCTATCCCTCGCGCTGTCTTTGTTACTGGCTACTATAAACGTTTTTTTATAGAAAGAGAACAAATAGGGCGTGGGGCGTTTGGTTTGGTGTCTCTTTGTGAGCATCATTTAGATAGTTTACTTCTCGGAGAATTTGCTGTGAAAAAACTACCGGTGGGAGATGATAGACACTGGCTACAGCGGGTACGCGCATGCATGCATCCATGCATGCATGCATGCATGCNGTGGGAGATGATAGACACTGGCTACAGCGGGTACGCGCATGCATGCATCCATGCATGCATGCATGCATGCATGCATGCATGCATGCATGCAGGTGTGCATGCATGGGTGCATGCATGCATGGGTGCGTGGGTGCATGCATGGGTGCATGCATGCATGCATGCATGCAGGTGTGCATGCAGGTGTGCATGCATGGGTGCATGGGTGCATGCATGCATGCAGGTGTGCATGCATGCATGCATGCATGTATCTATGTATGCATGCATGGGTGCATGCATGCATGCATGCATCTAGGCATACATGCAAGCATGCATGCATGCATGGATGCATGCATGCAT